ACTCACACACATCATCCAGCACACACACATCATCCAGCAATCTCACACACATCATCCAGCACACACACACATCATCCAGCACTCACACACACATCATCCAGCACTCACACACACATCATCCAGCACTCACACACACATCATCCAGCACTCACACACATCATCCAGCGCACACACACATCATCCAGCGCACACACACTGCATTCATTATACACACTCTTCACTCACTACAAACACACTACATTCACTATACACTCACTACAAACACACTAACATTCACTATACACCCTCTGCATTCACTATACACACTCTGCATTCATTATACACATTCTGCACTCACTGCATTCATCGTACACACTCTGCACTCACTACAAACACACTACATTCATTATACACACTCTGCGCTCACTACAAAAACACTACATTCACTATACACACTGCATTCACTATACACACTGCACTCACTACAAACACACTACATTTATTATACACACTGCACTCACTACAAATACACTACATTTATTATACACACTGCATTCACTACAAATACACTACATTCATTATACACACTCTGCACTCACTAAAAACACACTGCATTCATTATACACACTCTGCACTCACTACAAATACACTACAATTATTATTCACACTGCACTCACTACAAACACACTACATTTATTATTCATACTCTGCATTCACTACAAACACACTACATTCATTTTACACACCCTGCACTGCACTATATGCATAGGAGTGTAATTTTTTTTTTAAGGGGGGGGGGGAGGCGGGAATCTTGGGTGAGTTCCCACACTTTTTTCCCCAGGACTTGACCCCTGCTGGTATCTATTATATGCGTCTTACCATCCCATTAGCATTAGAGAGATTGCTATAACGCTATAAAAACCTTTATTTTAGAAGTATATGATTATATTTTACTTCCAGATTTGGGCATTATGTTCATATACAGACATTATTTTAACATTCTGTTGGCATTTTCAGTAATGCCCTCAGAGTCCTTACAAATAATATAATAATATAAGCAGGCTATTTTTATTTATCTATTTTTGTGAGAAAATTGTATTCTTGCTTTTATACGAATATTTTGGACCCTCTGTGAAATATTGCAAGATAAAGGACACTATACATGTTTTAAAAAGTTTAATTGCTCCAATATTTCTGTAATGGAAATGTTGATAGCAAAGTGTATGCCATAGAGTAGTAGTTTCAGAACAATACAGAAGCACACCAACAGTCTAGGTTTCATCATTATCGCCACATGAGCCGAAATGTCAAAATCATGCACTTTTATCTTGAGTACCGGGTTGGGAATCATTGGCATGGCAAGAAAAAACAACCTCACACATTACAGATCACAAAACTACATCGGACTGCAAGTAAACGGATATCAGCCAAGGCATGTCTTATCAGTTTATTGAGCATCTTACGTGATAAGTGCACCTGTGGCTGGAGGACAAATGTCTTATTCCATAAATAGCGAATGGATAGGAGTTGATATGATAAAATCAGACCTCAGAAATCAGAAGGAAATACTTCTGATTCTCTGCGGTCTGCCTTTCTCAGATGTGCAGTTACAGAATTCTGAAGGAGAATATTTTTATTGTAAATAAAATGCATTTAAATCAGAGGGCTGATTGGATTAAAATTGGCACTTTTATAAACTGAGGTTAATGTGCTTTAAGTGCTGAAGAAGATGATTTAGCCACGACATTAGTATTCAGTAATCATCCATCTCTACTGACAACTATAATAAACTTCAGAGCGAAGGTGGAACCATTCAAGAAACAAATGTTCACTGTTGATGTTTTAAAGAACGTGACGCCAGTGAACTAGTGGAAGTCACTTAAAGGGAAACTGTAGGCACCCAGACCACTTCAGCTCATTGAAGTGGTCTGGGTGCAGTGTCCAGAGAAACTGCAATGTTTACATTACAGCACTAAGTCTGCCCATAGGAGCGGTCTACTAGACAGCCACTAGAGGGCTCCCTGGTTTGAAACAAAACTTTGGTCTGGTATCAGATGCTGGACGTCCTCACGCACTGATTCAATGCTTTCCTATAGGGAGGTCTAATGCTTGTGCGGCATTTGCTGCGCACGAGCGTTAGAGCCCGCTTGTCACAGGACGGAAGAGATGGGGGAGCTTCCACCCAGCTCTGAGGGACATTGGCGCTGGGATCAGGTAAGTAAATAAAGGGTTTTTAACCCTTTAACAGCTTTGTATTCCTGGCACTATGGTATCTCTTTAAGTACTTGGATTCAGAAATGGTTGAAATTATGATTTCACTTTTAACAGCAGTGGCTTCTTCTGTTGGTGTAAAAAGAATATTCTCTTCCTTTGATGTAAATCAAATCCACCCTGACAGAGGGTTTTTTTACACAACATTTTCCCTTTAAAGCCTTTGTGCCACTGAACATCTTGTTTATCAAACAATTATACCCAGCTATTTGGAAGTCATATTAATCTATACGTACCAGACAATAAAGACGGATCATCTACATGCAGACAGGTGGTCTTATTAATTATTGATTCAAAACTTAGTAAATATATGTTATAACAGCCACTGTCCTGCAGGTGGAGATTCATCAATAATAACGAACCATTGTCAGGATAAAGCGTTACACGGTGTTCATACAATGGGAATATTTGTATTTTTCCACGAGTTAATAATGGCGTTCCTTCAGGGTCTATTGAACCATTTTGCAAAGAGTAATACACAATAACTCTGTTTCCAAACGTCCACTGAAGAGATGGCCAGTTGTACATGTTTTGTGAAATTTTGTAAGAGGTTTGGAGAAGGACGGAATCCCCAACAGTGGCATTAACGGAGTCCTGAGTGACAATAATATCATTTGCCACAGAACGACCTGAAAAGGCAAGATTGGACATGTAATATATCACATCAAGTCTTCACTAAATCAACTGAAACAGAAACAGCTGTATGCCTGTTTCTCTACATATACAGAGTACACAGCATTATCCCTGTTTCTCTACATATACAGAATACACAGCATTATCCCTGTTTCTCTACATATATAGAGTACACAGCATTATCCCTGTTCCTCTACATATACAGAGTACACAGCGTTATCCCTGTTCCTCTACATATACAGAGTAGACAACGTTATCCCTGTTTCTCTACATATACAGAATACACAGCATTATCCCTGTTTCCATACATATACAGAGTACACAGCTGTATCCCTGTTTCTATACATATGTACCATCACTGGTATAAAGAAGTGGGTTTTGCTACTTTACAGAGGAACGGCCATAGAGAAATGAGACACAGAATAGGGATTAAAGGGACACTTCAGCTCATTGACGTGGTCTGGGTGCAATGCCCCTGTCCCTCTTAGTCCTGAAATATAAATCATGATTACACTGCAGGACTAAGCATTCCTCCAGTGGCTGCCGGACAGCCATTAGAGGCGCTACCTGCATGCTAGGTGAATTTTGAGAGCCTGACTTCCAGCATCACTTAAATTAAAAGGCCTAATGTACTTGCGGCGCATATGTTCACACTCTGCCTCGGAGGAGCCAGAACGTCAACATGCAGCACTGGCGTTCGGCGTCTCCTCGCTCTACATGGAGATGCTAAACATTCTTCACAGAGATGCATTGATTCAATGCATCTCTATGAAGGGATACTGATTGGCCAGGGTAGTGTTTGTCTCCGCCCCATCCTGCCTCCTTGGCTGAGAGCATGCTTTTTTATCCTATGAGAAAGCATTGGATTGGCTGAAATGTCAATTCTGATGTCATCCAAGGAGGCGGATCTGGGGCGAGGTCAGTGTCTGATAACCACACTGAAAGTAAGGTGGGTTTTCACTCTATTTAAAGGGGGCAAGGGAGGGCTGGAGACCTAAATATGGTTTTTAACACTCTAGGATCAGGAATACACATTTGTATTCCTGACCCTATAGTGTTCCTTTACCACTGGTGAGGGCAAATACTTTAATGAGGTTTAAGTCAATGAGGAAGAGTTTTAAGATACAAGAAGGATGAGACATATAGAAGGTATGTTAAAAGTGTTGGTGATTTAAGAGTTTTGTGATAGGGGTTCTTGTCAAAAGGGGTTGATGTCCCTAATATACAACTATATTTAGTCTAACTCCACAGCTTGGGTGAACTGAGCTACATGTATCATTAGGAATGTGATTTAGATGAAACTAAGGAGGGAGCTATTTGGAAGAATACAGCAAGCAGAGGGCAGGATATGTGTCACTTTACAGGAAGAAATGCCTAGTGTTTAATTGTTTAGGATGGGTACAATTCGAACAGAACTGGGTTTGTTGGAGACAATGTGGGTTGAGAGGTGACTACTTCCACATGTGGTGGACTCAACTCAAAGTGACTGTCTACTGGGAGAAAGTTCTAATTTTTAAGAGATATTCTAAGCACCAAAACAATTGGCTCAAACGGTTACTCGAAGCACCATGACCACTTCAGTGTTTTGACGTAGTCATGGTGCTTGGTGTCTGTATATGTAGCATTTCAGTTTGAAACACTGCAAATGCACAGATACTTATGTGACTTGCTAGAGGTATAACAAGCTGGCTATTATTCATTTGCACACACTCATTCATTGCCTGAAAGTGCTCAGCAGATATCTCAGTCACAGAATGAGTGGCAGGATCGGCTTCTGGTTTCTGTAGCACCGCATTAGACTGCTGTAGTTACGGCACGATCATGGTTTGAGACCCATTGCAAAGTGGTTTACCTTATTTCCTGAAAATTGCACCAGTATACTCCTAGCATTATAATCACTGGTGACTCAGAGGGCTTTTGCTGTTGTGACAGAGTTCCTCACTCAACAGAGGTTCAAGTTAAAATTGTAGATAACTAGAAAAGCTACAATTTCTGGGGAAATTGTGTGAAGTGTTCTTGCCTCCACCAGTAGTCTACAACTGGAGTGGGCGGAGTAACTGGGCGGAGTGGCTTGAGTAACTGTTGTGTGGTTGGAGTGTGGTTCACTCACTCTACAGCAAGGGCAGAGAAGAGCTTTCAAATCTTTCATATCCCTCGAACATTCCACCAACTGCCAACAGGAACTATTATATTCCAAATAGGGCAGAGAAGAGCGGTTAAAAACAAACTACTCCAAATTGATCACTTAACTGGCGGTTGCCATCTTCAAACGGTCGTATTTTAAAAACTATAAATCCTACAGCGAAGAGCTTTATATTGTGAGAATCACAAGACCCAGGCCTACATTTTGCACAGTATGTCTCTGAAAAATGAAGGCACAGTCGCAGTTTAGAAATTGCCCTTCAAGTTTGAGGTGGCTAGAGTGGAGTTTCAAATGAATGTCAATGGACGGCGTGAGTTGCAAACAAATGGTCATATTGTGAAAACTATCAGGACTATGGCTTAGCCGTTGACATGTTTTGTGGCAGCAGGGATAGCTGAACGTTTTGATATAAGATTTGTGTAGGTGGGCTTGAAAATGAGGGAG